CAGATGTCCTCCACACACGATTGGAAAGGCGAAGAAATAAAGTACCTGTAAACAAACAAAATAAAGAAAAATGAATTGACATAAAACAAATTTTCAATGTTGAGCCACTGTGAGATTTTAAGGCTTACAGGTCAATTAGGCGCCATCCAACCCGACAGAAAATCGTCTTTCGTGAGATTTTACGTAATTCTATGGATTTCTTAAAGATTTGTACACTAAAGATTTGTACCCAACAGCCAACCATATGCCGGATGTATCAGAGCAAATACTCCAGTGTTGCTGATTTGCCTACGTCATCCGCTCGGCGGCGCCTGCGAAGCTCAGGATAGACCACTCTACAGTACACACATGCACTGCCAGCAAGATGTTGCCTACCTACCAGGCGCCATGACAGGTTGCGTGAACGAAGAAACACGCCCCATTCGTGCACATCCGTCCACGCATGCATTGAGGCCGCCCGAGGCGCTACTCGCGGGACCCTCGACGCAACCCCGTTAAGAACGCGGCTCACCCCACGGCTCCCGCGGCTTTGCGCTACCCCTACCCCGCGAGGGTGCGTCGCGGCTACGCGAGTCGCGCCCGGGGCACTGGCGGATTCCCCCTACCCCCCTCTGATGGCCGCCCGTCCTCGCCGTGCTACTCCCCACCAGAGAGACAAGCGGCGGAGCAGTAAAGGGGGCCAGCTGCCACCGCCACCACCCCGCCAGTACGTACGCAACTTATTGTGCAATCCTATGTGTAGAGGGACACCCAGTAGGTGAATGTCACTGTAAGTTACGGTGATGCACCGTGATTCACCGTAGCTTACGGTGAAAATTCACCTAAGCTACAGTGCTGCACGGGTCACTGTAGCTTACAGTGAAAATCACCGTAAGCTTTTTACAGTGCACCTCCAGGTCGGTTCAGCACGCCCTACGCTCACGCGGTGCCGGACAGGTGTAGGCCAACCAAAGACGTGGTCACCCGTGTTCGCCCCGCGGTCCGCCCATCCTCTGCACGCCCAGAACCAACTGGAACTAGAACACGAGGTGTTGGTGCAGCCCTTGAGCACGGACTCCCCGCCACCATTGCCGTCGCTGCCGGAGGAACAACTGAACGTGGACCGTCCGTCTTGACCACTGCCGCGCCCGAGGCCGCGCCGCCACTGGTGGCGCTCGGCCTGTGCGCGACAAGATCAAGCTGGGTCCCGAGGTCCCGGGCCGAGAAGAGGAGGACCTGGAGTTGTACGTGCGGCGGAGTGCGGAGGCTGGTGGTCCCTAAGCCAGTGGCGGCGCTGAACTGTCGCACACCTCCGCCAACTAGAGACTAGATAAAGGAGAGAAGGAGATCCGCAGCACTGTGGCGCAGCATAAGCGACCCGTGTCCTCGCTAAATTGCACCCTGCGTGAGGGTTGCTTCGGCTCTTGGTGTACGTTGGGTCTCGGGTCGCCTTCGGCAGCAAAGCCGAAAGCTCCGCGCCTTGGACGAAAGAGGAGAAGGACTGACCACTCCCGCTCGGCCACCGCGCGCCGCCGGGCGAAAAATCTGTACCCCCCCATGCCTGCCGCTGGGCAGCGCACCGCTGCCTACCTCCCAGGAGGGAGGATGCTCGGCGCGGCCGCTACACGCAGGGCCCTTATGGGCGCGACGCGGCGCGCGCCGCTTCTCGTGGCCCTAGCTCCGAAACCATTCAAAATAGATGGTGGGTGTAAACGAGCCGATTGTAGCAAAAGGTTCAAGCTTTCCAACACTGTGAATATTTTTGCGATACGACCCACACAGCCCGAATGCCGACCGGCCAAAGATTAGCCATACCAAAGGGTTTCTGCGCGCGCCACGGTGCCCAGGCAGCCGGGCCTTCTCGTGCGGCTTCCCTCGGTCCCAGCTCCTAAACCGTTCAAGATAGATGGTGGGTGTAAGCGAGCCGATAGTAGTACAAGGATTAAGCTTTCCAAGATTTCAAAGATTTTATTGTTCTAGGTTACACAAGATTGTTTATGATCAGTACACTGGCACAGTTAACACCCAAAAGTGCTGATCACTTATAATCTGATCCATCTGAATGAAATGCACGTAAAGAATTATTCAATGCTTTATCTTATTGTCATAACCTATTGTCAAGCCAGACCTACTGAAACAAACCAACATCAACTCACACAAACCTATGCGAGCACCAACAACCAGTAGAACCGGGCTTGGCTCGGCCGAGTCGCGCGCCCCGTATAGAACAGGATAGCTCAATTTCGTCTTTTTATCGTCTTTTAGAATAGACGATAAGTAAACGAGAAAGGGGCGAAAAAGAGACGAAAAAGGCAGTCAGTTTCGTCTCTCTGTCGCCTTTCCTCGTCTCCCGCTCGTCGTAAAAGTGTACACTTTTGCGACGAGCGGGAGACGAGATCAAGACGAACTCTTGTGTCGGCAGTCAAAAGCAGCGCCGGGCTCCGCAGCGAACCCAGGAACATCTGATTAGAAGTTCATCACGGTAACCGCTTGGCCAGAGCAGTACCCTGAGAGAGCGAAAGCGAGGGACGAGTCCGACTCGGCCGGGCGAAGGGATGTCTCGGTCTCGATGCACCGCACGTCGTTTGCAGCAACCAATATGCAATAACAGATGTGTTTCCAGTTGAGCTGAACGTGAATTTAATTGCCTCGTGACCGATTCAAGGAACTACCAAATGAAACAAAAAGAATGACAACACACGCTGTGCCAGCCGTTGGTGAGAAGTCGAGACATCCCTTCGCCCGGCCGAGTCGGACTCGTCCCTCGCTTTCGCTCTCTCAGGGTACTGCTCTGGCCAAGCGGTTACCGTGATGAACTTCT